TGAAGCTGATAATGGGATATATGGCTGCATGTTGAGGTTAAGAAGAGAACTTTCAATAAACAGCACATCCACGCTGGTTGTGACAGGTTAGTCCTAGCTCCCTCCCGTTTGCACTAAGCMTGATGATATGCGTATTGCGTCACTGAACGCTTTTGATTTCCTTTCTCGTGCCGGATGTTTAAGCTCACAAGCATGCTCATCATAAAATGTTAAATATAATTCTCTCGGGTTGACCTCACATTGTAGCCAGCGTTTGACCACTATTTGAAGAAGGTCATGAAATTCAAAGACTTTTATCAGCCAAATAAAATCCAACACTTGTAACAATGTACCTATTTTTGGCTAGATCATCCAAAGGTTTTGCTATCTACATTGGCGACAAAGATAATACAAGAAGGTTCTTCTTTGAACATCAGTTGCAGTGCAAATGCTTCCCCAGTACCTTATGTGACCTGGATGAAAATAGCACCCAAGAAAAGGCTTGTGATCTCTAAAACAGTAGGCTGGAGTTTCTTAAWATTCATGGAAATCAAGAGAAACCAAGGTGGTACTTATGAATGCCAGGCAACTAACAATCCAAATGAGCCTCCAGTGACTTCAAAGATCAATATTTTGGTGATTTGTAAGTAATGCTGTAACCAAGTTGCGTATATTTGCTTGTCAATGTCATCGTCATCGTCTTTGGTATCGTCATCGTCATTGCGACATCACGTACGACATCGCMATTGCGTTCGCCTTTGCCATCGCCACTGTATATTCTCGCTACGCATTAGTGGTATTAAGCCACTTTCATCAAATGCAAATTGTTATTGTTTGTTAAATTCTTCGACAACGAAGATGGTATTTCCTTTTAACATCACACTAACAAAAAACGCGTTGTTTATAATATATCAATCAGCAAAAAAACGTTTATGAGTATCATTTCAACTGTGCGTGTAATTAATGAATAATATATTATTGATTAATGAATAATACATTATTGATTATGACTTATGGCTTTCTTTCTCTGAAGATTTTGAACATTCTTCCATACGTCTTGATAAGAATGGTGAAGCACAGATAGTTGAAGGAGAAGACCTGAATATCACCTGTGCAATAAGCCCAATATGGCTTGACAATGTCATGTGGGTTCATGTACCCACACACGAGTCCCTAAAGTTAGAAAGTGTTAAAGT